AGGCTTGAATAAACAATTACTATTTAGATCGGAGCTGTCCACAAAAACAAATATTATTTAGATTGGTTAGGTTAGAGTTAGTATATGAATATTTGGTCGCCGAAGGCGACCAGGACGCCGAGAAGCCGAGGCTTGAATAAACAATTACTATTTAGATCGGAGCTGTCCACATAAACAAATATTATTTAGATAGGTTAGGTTATATAAATATTAATATACTAACCGTATATTAATATTGTTTTTAAATAACTGGTTCCGAAAATTATTAAATTATTCAAATAGTACCCAAAACCGAATCAGAGCACCCCACTATCCACGTGGTCTTGTCTGTCTTACCCCTAGAGTGTATATAAATAATCGGAGGCGCGGAGGAAGAGCAGCCCCCACCCGCTGTAACAAAGCACAGGCATTATGAAAGCTGTAGCGGCTGAGGCTGGTCGCCAGAGGCGACCAAAAAGCCGAGGTTGCGGAGGCTTGAATAATGCCTGTGCTTTGTGCTATTTAGATCGGAGCTGTCCACAAAAACAAATATTATTTAGATTGGTTAGGTTAGAGTTAGTATATGAATATTTGGTCGCCGAAGGCGACCAGGACGCCGAGAAGCCGAGGCTTGAATAAACAATTACTATTTAGATCGGAGCTGTCCACATAAACAAATATTATTTAGATAGGTTAGGTTATATAAATATTAATATACTAACCGTATATTAATATTGTTTTTAAATAACTGGTTCCGAAAATTATTAAATTATTCAAATAGTACCCAAAACCGAATCAGAGCACCCCACTATCCACGTGGTCTTGTCTGTCTTACCCCTAGAGTGTATATAAATAATCGGAGGCGCGGAGGAAGAGCAGCCCCCACCCGCTGTAACAAAGCACAGGCATTATGAAAGCTGTAGCGGCTGAGGCTGGTCGCCAGAGGCGACCAAAAAGCCGAGGTTGCGGAGGCTTGAATAAAATGCCTGTGCTTTGGTACGCAAGGGTGGAGGGGCTGCATTTCCCGTAGCGCCGGAGCTGTCCACAAAAACAAATATTATTTAGATTGGTTAGGTTAGAGTTAGTATATGAATATTTGGTCGCCGAAGGCGACCAGGACGCCGAGAAGCCGAGGCTTGAATAAACAATTACTATTTAGATCGGAGCTGTCCACAAAAACAAATATTATTTAGATTGGTTAGGTTAGAGTTAGTATATGAATATTTGGTCGCCGAAGGCGACCAGGACGCCGAGAAGCCGAGGCTTGAATAAACAATTACTATTTAGATCGGAGCTGTCCACAAAAACAAATATTATTTAGATTGGTTAGGTTAGAGTTAGTATATGAATATTTGGTCGCCGAAGGCGACCAGGACGCCGAGAAGCCGAGGCTTGAATAAACAATTACTATTTAGATCGGAGCTGTCCACATAAACAAATATTATTTAGATAGGTTAGGTTATATAAATATTAATATACTAACCGTATATTAATATTGTTTTTAAATAACTGGTTCCGAAAATTATTAAATTATTCAAATAGTACCCAAAACCGAATCAGAGCACCCCACTATCCACGTGGTCTTGTCTGTCTTACCCCTAGAGTGTATATAAATAATCGGAGGCGCGGAGGAAGAGCAGCCCCCACCCGCTGTAACAAAGCACAGGCATTATGAAAGCTGTAGCGGCTGAGGCTGGTCGCCAGAGGCGACCAAAAAGCCGAGGTTGCGGAGGCTTGAATAAAATGCCTGTGCTTTGGTACGCAAGGGTGGAGGGGCTGCATTTCCCGTAGCGCCGGAGCTGTCCACAAAAACAAATATTATTTAGATTGGTTAGGTTAGAGTTAGTATATGAATATTTGGTCGCCGAAGGCGACCAGGACGCCGAGAAGCCGAGGCTTGAATAAACAATTACTATTTAGATCGGAGCTGTCCACAAAAACAAATATTATTTAGATTGGTTAGGTTAGAGTTAGTATATGAATATTTGGTCGCCGAAGGCGACCAGGACGCCGAGAAGCCGAGGCTTGAATAAACAATTACTATTTAGATCGGAGCTGTCCACAAAAACAAATATTATTTAGATTGGTTAGGTTAGAGTTAGTATATGAATATTTGGTCGCCGAAGGCGACCAGGACGCCGAGAAGCCGAGGCTTGAATAAACAATTACTATTTAGATCGGAGCTGTCCACATAAACAAATATTATTTAGATAAGTTAGGTTATATAAATATTAATATACTAACCGTATATTAATATTGTTTTTAAATAACTGTTCAACTGAAACTCGAAATCGAAAACAAAATCGGATTTAAAATCGGATTCAAAATCGAATACTAAAATAATCGATTTTTTCACTTTCACAGAATAGATTATTTTTCACATCTCTATTCTCTACTATTCATTGTTTAAAGTATAAACGCAATCGGCCATTTCGAATTTGGATTTTGCCAGAACAGTGTGTGTTCACAGTATTCAAGTGCAAAATATCAGTTAAAAGCCGTTACTTTTTAGATTTTTTTATTTTTGCTTGAATGTGCGTTATTTTATTAGCATTTTTTTAAAACTTGGCTTTATATACATACTAGACACTGATTTCTTGCGATCATTTTCAGATTTCGTGTAATGGCGTCTCAAAATAGTGGACATGGGTGTGGTACTGAACCTGAACCTGAACCGTCTACAAGCACAACGCTTGGTAGACCTGCTTTTGAGGACGACCATCATCTTAGGTTAGTATATTAATATTTTTTTAAAATAACCTGTGTGAACAGTGATAATGTGCGAAATATCCGTTAAAAAGCCGTTACTTTTTACGTGAATGTTCGTTATTATATTATTATTTTTTTAAAACTTAGCTTTACATACATACTAGACACTGATTTCTTGCAATCTTTTTCAGATTTGGTACTGAATCTGAACCGTCTACAAGCACAACGCTTGGTAGACCGGCTTTTGAGGATGATGGGCCCTTGGAGGATCGTCATCTTTTTAAAGATGAAGTTCTCAAAATGTGGAATTTAACTAAACTAAATAAAACTTTAGGCAATAATGAGCAGTGTATGGCATTCGCTGAAGAACATGGATTAGTGCATTCTCAAAAGCAATGTGGAAGACATCGTGTACCCATGAAAATAATTAAATCGACGAATAAAACATTTGGCACATGGTCTTGTACAAAAGGAAATTGCAAATCAAAATCAAGAGTATCTAGAAATAAAGGAACATTTTTCGAAAACATTAAATTAGACTTAGTACATGTCTTCTATTTACTATATGCATATTCACAAAATTGGAGTTATTATACAACTATTAATGAAGATCCATATAAAGAAGATAGACAACAATGCTTAAGTCGAGGCACTATTAATGATTGGTTTAATTATTGTAGAGAAACCATAGTTATTTATCAAATGGACAAGAATCAATTTAAAGGAAAAATTGGTGGCCCAGGGAAGATTGTGCAGATAGATGAATCAAAATTTGGGAAACGAAAATACAACCGAGGTAAGTCTTTTATAGCTCAATAAATTATATTTACTACATGTTAACTGTTACATTATTATTTATCTACATGTAAACTAGATTTTGGTTATGTTAGGTCCGCATCAATGACAACATTGATTGTGTTACAAGTCTGTTTTACCCCTAGAGTGTTATTTTAATTCTTTAATTGTTCTAGGACGACATATTGAGGGCCATTGGGTCCTCGGTATGATTGAAGACAATTCTGAAGATCTGAGATTGGAAGTGTGCTCAGATAATATTCGCTCAGCGGAAGTATTAGTTCCTCTAATACAGAAACACGTCGAAGTTGGCACGACCATCCACACTGACTTCTGGCGAGCATACGATTGCTTGTCTGAGCATGGATACCTTCATAAGAAGGTCAACCACTCGAATCCAGACAACCCCTTTGTGGCTGAAGATGGAACACATACTCAAAGAATTGAGTCTCAATGGAGAGCAGTTAAGAGATTTTTTAAAAAAGATAATTATAATTTTTATAGTACAGAAAATTTCACTGATCATTTATACGAATACCTATGGCGGCGAAACAATAAGAAATATAAAAAGATCCCTTTGAGGAGCTACTTATAGCAATTAAATATATTTATAAATTAAAATAATACTTTACTATACTCTTATTTTGCTATATTGCTTATTATGCTATACTGCTTATTTTGCTTACATATGTTAATTTCTTTTTTCATTTACTGCTGCTGAAGAGCTGCTGAAGTGGATAGAAGCCTACTGGCTTCTACCACGACCCGGCTCTACATGCACTATGGATTGGGCCCTGGTGGTTTTAGTGGGTATGGGGTCATCGCATTTTACGACCTTGACCCCCACACTCCCCGCGCCATTCACACACTTGCCCAGGCGTGGGGGCCCGTAAGTGGGTTTCCCCAGGTAAAAAAAAAAAAAAAAAAATTTTTTTTTTTTGGTTTCCTAAGCCCAAAATTTGTGGGGGGTGATTACTACCCCCTAACACCTCCCCCCTCCCCCGCACCCCAAATTTAGGGTCTTCTCTCTCACATCTTTACCGATGTTTTTAAAAGACTCGCTTATTTTAAGAGATTATCTTAGATAATTTCCTTTAGTTTAATAATTCGCTAGCACTCGGAAACCATCGAGCACAAAATTCTAAAATTTACGCACACCTTACGAATTCTTTAAAAATATCGCAAGCGTACACATTTCAGGTAATATCTTGAAAGTCCCAAATATTTTGAAAGCAGCGTAAGTGATTCGGATGTGGTGATACAAATTCAACAAAAAGTTCGTCAGGATATGTTTTTTTTTAGTTGCACACATTATGGTCGGCAACAAAAAGGTATTAATTATATTACCAAGATATAATATATTAATAATAAAGAACATTTTATTATTATATAATAAAATTATTTTTTAATTTTCTTATTATTATTTATTTTATCCAGTTAATAACAATATGTTAATTAAATAATAATTAATACATTACGCATTTACTATAATACAATTCGATATTAGGTAAATATAATTATTTATTAGCTTTTAAGTCGGGACGACTGTCTAATTCTGGGCGAATTTGCGGTTGAGGCGGTGGGAAAGAGGGACGAGGGCCAAAGTTTCCCTGAAAATAATTATTTCTTTATTAATTTAAGAATTAAACTACTCTAAAGACATCTTATATCATTCAAGTATACAAGAATCATTAAAAAATAAAAAGCAATTTTTGACCCGAAACACCCGGTAGTGCGCGTTGTGTCGCCGATTAGGATGGTTATGTCGGTAGTGCGGTGCGCGCCAGGAATTATTACGACCGCGGGGAACAATTATCACATTATCTGCAAATAAATTAATCATTAGCTAAATATTCTTTTTTTTTACCTTTTTTACAAAGTATGTCATTACAACTGTGTTTAATTGTTCAAATTGTTTTGGAAGATCTTACCAAGGGAGTCCGGTATATTTCTGACTTGTGGTGTCCGAGCACCCACTGGCCTCTCTGATATAAATCTCTCTCTACTGCTTTCTAAACCTGAAAAAATTTAACTATAACAATCAACTCTAAATTCCGAATAAATAATTTCCGATAAAAATATAATTGTACTCACTTGCAGCTGGTGGAATTTCTGATGGCACAATTTGTGGAGATTCAATTGGTGCCGCTGGCTGAAATTAACATTTTATTTTAATTAAGTATGTAATAATATTGCAGATTTATGTATTAATTGGTGTCTCTATAACCTAAGTCGTATAATCCATTAGCTCAGCCATTCTTAGATAAGAAACCTGCAGATAAAAAAAATCGCTTTGAAAGTCACAGATTGGCTGCTTTAATATAATGGCATGTTGAATTCTTTGTATAATTTAGAGCAATACTTGTCATAAATAGATAAATTTTGCTTGGATTATTTTAATTTAGTAGTTAAAAATAGTAATATCTCGTTTCCGGAAAAATTTGGACCCTAACCTGAAGATATAATAAAACACAAACTGATTTGAAATTATTTTATTATACGATTTTTCCACTTTCCTTTAACACGAAGACAGCGCTAAATTTGCGTAAAAACATTTTTCATGCTTTCATCAATTTTCAGATTAAAATAGTCGATAATACGTACATTACACATTTATTTAACAAAAAAAAACTTCCATAACCCATTATTATAATTATTATATTATTATTATTATTATTATTAATCACGTTTATAGTTCGATTAACAATACTATACAAATGTAACGCTTAAAAAGCGGCATTTCGAAATATTCTATAGAAATTAAAATCAATAATTAATTTCAAAACTTATTAGCGAATACAACTTTTTTACTGTATTAAATATAGTGCATTATTATTATTTGTGTATTGGTTTTTAAATCATAAACTTTGATTGATTACCGAAGTGGTGTATGGGCTGAAATTTTTATTTTTATTTTATTTTAACAAGAGGTTAGACTGATGGTGATTGATACCTTGCCTCACAATAGTTTTTAAACACGCACTAAAACACTCACTATAAAATTCTAAATAGTGGACGTATCTATAATTAACAAAAAGTATATATGTCTTATCCAAATAAAAAATGCTAGATGCACGAGAACACGTAATCCGAAAGAAGCTCAACAATGACTAACTTAAAAAAATGTGTCGATCGTCAGTGTAAAAATATTTGGCATCACCCTCATCAATTTTATAAAATTTATATAATGTATTTCGAACAGTCCCCCGTCCCAGTCAGGCGCAACATGACTGAGTCCAAAACCGGAGGCTGGGAACAAAGTTTATGCCACTGGGAGACGTGACAAGCCCGCCACGGCTCTTTTTAAAACCGATTCCTGAACGACAAGAGAAATAACTCTTAATCCCGGAAGAGGCTCAACAAGTTCCGTTTTAGTGTGAGGCCAGCAACTCTCGGGTTGGTACAGCCAACCTGGAGCCCACCACAAGGGATGGTATAATATTACTGGAGCCTCACAACCTCGAGATGCACAGTCTGCCGGATTAAGTCCTCCCGGTACATGCCTCCAATCTAATGTCACAACAGATTGCTGAATTTGACAAACCCGATTGGCCACGAATACTTCCAGAACATGAACTGACGCTTGCAACCATGCAAGAACTATCTGACTATCAGTCCAAGCAAAACACTTCTGGATATTCATATTTTGGCCAAAAATGGATTTAACATGGTTTATCAAACGTGTCAATAGAACAGCACCTGATAACTCTAATTTAGGAATTGTTAAGCGTGTTCTTACCGGTGCAACCTATTTGCCATAACCAGTTTAACCGTTACAACACCAGATTTATTGAAAGAACGAATATAAACTGCAGCAGCATAACCACTTTCCGATGCATCACAAAAACCATGAATATCTACTGTGCATTTCCCTGGTGGCAATAAAGATCTATCAATTTTAATCAATTGAATTTCAGGAAGGGACGAAACAAACCTAACCCAAACACTTAACAATTCACCTACTAAAGGGGCATCCCATGTTAATCCTTGTAACCAAAGCTTTTGTATAAAACATTTTACCCAAAAAACAACTGGAGCTAACTATCCATTAGGATCATATATCCTGGCTACAGTCGAAAGTACTACACGCTTGGTCCAAGATTTAATTACATCTATATCCTGCACGCGAAAAGTAAATATATCAGCTAACGGTTGATACTGAATACCTAATACTGCAACAGCGTCAGGGTTGTCCACGTTCTGAAAAATATAAGGATCTTGTTGATGATCCTCGTGTAAACCAGCAAGAACAGCTTGTGAGTTAGACACCCATTTCCTTAACTCATATCCACCAGCCTTAAGAATCCCAACGCTCGTTGCGTAGTATTAAAGCTTCTTTATCATTTGCAGCGCCGGTGCAAATGTCGTCAACGAAAACATCACTTGTCAAAACATCAGCTGCTCTTGGAAATTGCAAACGTTCCCGCTCAGCCAATTCTAATAATGTATGAATAGCAATATAAGGACTTGATCTGAGTCCATATGTATTGGTATTCAATTCAAATACTGTAACAGGATCGGATTCCTTCTCATGCCACAGGATAAGTTGATAGCAACGGTCATCAGTATGAATTACAGTTTGCCTAAACATCATTTTAATATCTGCAACAAATACGATCTGATGTCTTCTAAAATTTGTTAAAATATCACCAATGTCACGATGTAACTTTGGGCCCGAATGCAAACATTGATTTAAAGAAACTCCATTGGAACTAGGCGCTGAACCATCAAAAACTACTCTGATTTTACCACCTTTAAACACAGCATGATGTGGGATAAAGTAGTGCTCCTGTGTGCGCCAATCAAAATCAGAAACTGACATATGTCCGAGCTTAAAGTACTCGTCCATAAACTCAATATACTTAGCACGAAAAGTCGAATCTCTCTTCATTCGTCTCTCCATGGATGTTAACCTTTTCTCAGCTAAAGTCCTGGAGTGACCCAAAAGAGGTCGGGATGGTAAGAAAGGTAACCGCGTGACAAACCTACCTGAACGGAGACGACCAGTGTTGTTCTGAAAGAACAATTCACATTCTTGGTGCTCTGGGTTTTCACGAGCCGCTGTGGGAGGCTCTTCGACTTCCCAAAACCGTTGAATAGCTTCAGCAAGTGAGAGTCCCACACACAAGTTACCATCTTCAACTGTAAGAGACTGTATTGGAAACACAGGACCCATAATGACATCACCAAAATCAGATGTAACTGCTACTAAGCCCCCTGGTTGTAAAAGTGTGCTTTTACTTAGTCGCAGCATGCCTAAAACTTCTGCTCCGAGTAGCAAATCAATTTGACCTGGAATATGAAATGTACAATCCGCTAAGTTAAGACTACGTGTAAGATTTAATATCTCCGATGGTAATTTAACAAGTGGGTGTCTGCCCATAACATTATCTAAAATAATGGCAGAAGTTGTAATCTGTGGATGAGAGCATTGAACAGAAGAAAAAGTTAGTGTAACTTGTCCACGCAAACCAGGAACCTTAAGACCACCTACACCAAATATACCCCCGCTAGCAGGCGAAATACGCAACTGTAACCTGTCCACCAAATCCATTGACACCAAATTTCCCTGTGCTCCAGAATCCAAAATCGCACGCGTGGTTACTTGCTCACCTGATGGAGAACCAACAAAAACCTGTGCGGTGGGTAACAAAACAGTAATGGGAGATGTAGGAGTTCTAGCGGGAACGTGACCTAGTCAATATTCTTCTGGTTCAGGGACCCGCTGGCCTAAACGAGGCCACTCAGAAAAAGGCAAAGGCCTAACAAAATCACGACGTTGCTGTTCAATAACAGGTGATGCACAAGAGTCATAATTATCCTTGCTCTTAGGAAGTTGTTGCTGATCAGAGGTGACACGAGGCCTGTTATGAGACCTTAAGTTTCCCCCGCCCCTGGAGGGTGGTGGCCGCCTCCGTTGGTAATTATCGTAACCGGATTCTGTGTGGTGCCTGGAAGTATGACCAAAAGTACGGGGTCTAACCTGCACACCACCAGTCCACTGATCACCTGTATTTTGAATGGCTTCAACAAACTCCCGTGCCGGTGCAGCTGATTGGGGTGAACCATTCGCATTACCGCAAAGTATAATGTGATGATTGCCATTACATTGTTTCATTTACGTTACTCTGTAAATTTAATATGACATCTACGTGGCTATCCGCCAGCTTACGTATGTTTTGATAACGCCGCATAAGTAAATCTCTAGCTATATCATAATTATTGTCCACAAGTACTAAATGTTGGACTAACCCTTTAGCCTCCCCGGTGAGACTAGCCAACAAATATGCCAACTTTTGAGCAGATGTTAAATCAACTCTTGAGTGCACTAAACTATCAAATAAATGAATAAACGCCACCCATTGGCTTAAATCGCCACTAAAATGGGGCGAATCTAGTTTGGGTAACCTACCTATAATACCACTTGAAAAAGTTAAACTATCCTTCGATTGAAGGTTATTTGACTGATTAACCGAAGATTTAATAATCCCAACGGCTTCCCTAATTTGATCAGCCAAATCCTCAGCCTGATCCATGTCTGCAGAAACCTTGTCCATCACCTCCGGTTCTAAACCCAACTCAAGTAATGCCTGATACGATTTATATAAATCTTTCATTCTATCTGTAGTGTATGAGTGAAGCGCGTGTGTGCGTGCGCACGAATTGAGATACCTAAATGTACCATTTGTAGTGTGCTGTGCGTTAGTCACCAATAAACCTTGATTCGTATTACACGTCGTTTCTTATTTATCTCAGTGGCGACGAGGATTGGTTTTCGTAAAAAGTTAATAGTTTCTAGACAACATGCCGATCGGGAAATTGACGGAATTTAATGTAAGGACTGGAAATTGGACTTTGTATATCGAAAGAGCGGAGATGTTCTTCAAAGTGAATGAGGTGAAAACAGATTTGTGGCTACCCACTTTAATCGCGGCTATGGGAGATGAGTCTTATGAATTATTAAGTAATTTGACTAGTCCAGATTTACCAAGCTCAAAAACCTACACAGAAGTCGTAAGCGTGATTAAAAACCATTTACAACCGAAACCATCATTTATATCGCAAAGGTATCATTTTCGACAGAGGCGACAAAATGCGGGTGAGTCGATATCGCAATATCTCTCGGAGTTGAAGAAAATGGCCAAATATTGCGAATTTAAAACTGCTTTAGAAGATAACCTAAGAGATCAGCTGATTTGTGGGTTGCGGAGTGAATTAATCAGACAAAGGTTATTCGCGGAAGAGAATCTGGTGTATGGAAAAGCAGTAACCATAGCCTGTGCAATGGAAGCGGCAGAAAAAGATGCAGCGGCGGTGGAACAAAAGACGACGGGTGGCGTGACCGACCCGGGTGGCGGCAGCGAGACCGGCAGCGCGGCTAGTGCGCTGAACGCCGTGAACGCGCACTCCGCGCGGCGGAGCGGACCGGGCCACCGGGGGCGAGGGGGCGCACGCGCTCCGGCAGCGTCGTCGGGGCCGGATCGGAAAGGACAGGGTGACTCAAGATACAATTGTTATGCGTGCGGAGCCGCGGGACACGGCAGCGATGAGTGTCGCTACCGACGCTTTATCTGCGGGAGATGTAAGCAGCGCGGGCATTTACGTCGTGTGTG